GGCGCTTGTTCAGGGTTTGTGCCTGCTCTTGGAGATTTTCGTCGTGTTTTTGCCGCAGCCTGTACTTTGAGCATGTTACAGGAGGTAGAAATAATGGCAAATACTACTGGGGATCATGATAATGTTGCCCTCCATACTGAAGTTCATCGGCTTTGGCCAGTGATACGCCAGAAATTCCCAGTACAGGTGCGCTCTGTTGAGCTGTGTAGAATTCCACCTCAAAAAGGTGAGAGAGGTAGTCAGTATTTGCTCAGAGTGCGTGAACTCTGGCAGAACCACACTGGTGAGGACCCAGCTGTCAGTGACACCTTGGGGGTGCTATTTCGCAGTGCTGTAGAGGCTTCCCTCCCCACAACCTGCCCCACCGGACAGGTGGTGGGACTCAACACATTTGCGTTTGAGCAGTCGTCAGCTTATGTCACTTAGTATATTCACAATGAGCTGGAAGCACAAGAAAAGAATGCAAAGGAGCTTTCTTCCTTGCAGGCACATTTAGCTAAAGCGCAGTTGCAGGAGATGCAAGACAAAGTTAATCAAAGTAAGGCTACAGCTAACCAAATGCCGGTGCAGAATGCTGTACAGCCATGTGCACGGCAGCAGCCCTTTGTTCAACAGCCGACCACACCACCTTATCAGTGGGATTCTGCTCCCAGGTACTGTGGACCTCAGTACCGTGACAGGCCACGAGGAAGAGGTCAAGGACCTTGGACTCTCAGAAGAGGTCCGCCAAGAGATGACAGGTGCTGGATTTGTAAGGAAAGAGGACACTGGTCGCGTGAATATCCCTTTTCATATCAGCAGTCGCAGGGTTACCTCGATATCAGTATCAAGTCTACCCACCTAGGTTGAAGCTCTACCTATTGTATTGTTCAACCTCAGGTCCACTCCGAATGCAACACTTAATGTAAGCCCACATGAAATCCTGACAGGGAGAAAGATGCTCTGTCCTCTAACTGGTCAAAGGTCAAGGTGTTTATTTGTCATATGCACAGTTAGGAAAAGTATTTCCCTCTAACTTTATGCCCTGACAGGGAGGAAGATGCCCTGTCCTCTAACTGTTATGCCTAGAGATTTAACACCTCTTCTTTTGCAGCATGCTGACATGAGTGAGTATGTCAGACGACTGAACAATGCAGTGATGAGTGTCTTTGAGCAGGTTATTGAAATATTGAGCAGGGACAAACCTGAGGAACCAACACCAGTTGCAGTGGACAGCTGGGTCTATCAAAAGGTGCATAAACTTCACAGAGCCACGTTGGAAAGGTCCTTATAGGGTAGCAGAAGCTACCACACACTGTCTTAAACTGTGGCTCACTGAGAACAAGCTAAGTAACTGGATCCATAAGACACATTGTTCTTCAGCTGAGGATCCAGCTGGATGGACAGTGAATGAGGTCAAGGCTGATTTGAGAACCTCATTACCTGAGTCGATATACAGTCCTGTAGAATCAGAGCTACAGTCAGAAGAGGACCTACACTATTGTAATATTTATCAGAGTACAAAAATGTTGACAGGGACAGCAGACAAAATGCCTAGTCTGGCAAGTTTAGGCAGTTGTCCTGGTACAGTTCTGTGTGTACTGGGCCTCATTAGCCTAGTTATAGTGGTACCCATATTGTGGTGGGAAACAAGGTCCCACATACACCGTGAGAAAAGAGCTAATGTCCTGATTCCACTCGAGTTGTTTTTTAATTTGGGTAAAACTTCCACTTTAATGGTAGATGCGTGACATTTTTGACTGCTCTGTGTGGCCACAGCAAGAGCAATTAAGACAGTTTGATAAATATATTTGTATACTGTCCTATGTCTAGTTTAATATTCAGTGTCTTACTAATCTTACTAACCTCACTAATGTTACCAGAAATTTAGTTCTTAGGTTTCAGGAGCAACTGGCAGCCACTTCTCTTATGTTGTATCAGAACAGATTGGCATTAGACTTCATTCTGATTGAAAAAGGGGGTGTTTGTACTATTGTAGCCCAGTAAGTGGAAGTAAATTGTTCACATTATACTATTTGCAGCAAACTCTTATTTTGGCAGCATATTTTATTTTTGTAGTACTTTGAAGTGGTTCCTGTTGAGGAGTTTCTTAATTCCGAAAAAAAAAGAGAAAAAGACAGTGCTGCAGAAAGAGGGAAAAACATGACACTCGAGTAGTTGCTACCAATGTGTGAAGTAGACCCGGTTGATCGGAGAGTTGAAGTGAAGCTTCGGGAGAGATTTCAGTTGTGGACCCTTGTTTTATTGAGGAGATAAGTTGTTTTAGATTGTCTTGGTGAGTGAATTTACAGCTAAAATTAGCATAGCAATGGACGTTTATGCTAACGAAGCGCTTATGTTAAGTTGAACATGGGTATACGTGTCTTGCTAATACTGAACCACCATGTTATTTGTACTGATTAGAGATACAGCGCTAACACGTAAAGTTGTGTTATTTACACACAATAGGTGATTGGAATGCATGTAATGGGTAGTTCTTACTTAATGTATGGAATGTACCAACATGTGTGAAATTCGGGATTTCCTTATTCTATTGTTAACCTGGTAATACATTGGGTTGAGAACTGCATTATTTTATTATGGCAGGAAAGTGTGAACATTTCAATTCAAGGTAATGTGTATAAATTTAATCATAAAGCATGGTTAAAAGAATGATCCTTGATATACAAATAATTCATAAATTCATGGAGAAAAATTGGGAAAAATACCTGTTCATTGATATTACTGTTGTAAATTATCAGTGTTATTGAACATGATGTTATATATGGCCATATAAGAGAAGAAGTAGATTATAAACCGCAAGTTTGTTATTGTACAGGTTGGGTTTTTTAGAACCACCTGAACTCACTGGATTTGGATCTTCGATTTGGATCATCTTTCTCCTTGACGAAGGAGATGGCGAGCTGTCGTGGGACCAAGATATGGGATGAACCAAGAAGGAGCCCATGTTTCCTTCAACCTTCTGGAGAGGGTGCACCTGTGCGGTGGGCCCACTTAGTTTCATAACTTGATAAGGAGTGGAGAATTGACTGGTTTGACTGTTACAACGGACCTGGGACTATATTGTGACTGACAGATTGACATTTATGCATGCGGGATGACAGTATAAACTCACAAACTTGAACTGAAGGATATAACAAAATCTGGATTACCCTTAAAGGGACAATTTTTTTCTTCAAAGAGAACTGTTCAAATGTGATGTTTGGATCATTTGTGTTGAATTGTTAAATAATAATTTTCCTATGTTACCCTACTGCTTAGTTCCAATTGTTTTCATTAACCTCTCCTTTTGAGCCTGGATACTGGTCCGAAGCCCCAACACATCCACCGGATGAGCAAGGGTTACACTATGCAAACCTGACAAATGGCAAATCATAAAATGCTATTATAACAGTGAAACATTTCATTTGAAAGGCACTGATAAACAACCTGAGGGTGATATAAACACTTTGAGGGTTGCAGACCAACTAACAAAGACAGCTAAAAAAAAATGACAGTAACATATGGGGAGAGGTAAGTATTAGTGTAACAAAAGTAAACTTCTCAATTATTTGAGTGTTCTGCGAAGGACAGAAAACCTCAGGTAGAAAAATGATAGCATGCCTTCACAGTTGTCAAATTATTCTTCACCAAGGACAAGTGCTATTCTGCAAGCATCAAAGCAGAAAATCAACAGGAAAAGATACACAGACACTGAAAGACAGCAGCTTATGACACATGGGTTCTGCAAGACAGCTGAAAATGGATGGGGGCAAAAACTGAAACTGAGCAAGTGTGTCGACAGCCTTGGGGCATGATGGGGTCCTCTCACGCCATATGTTTGAGATTTTACATAATCTCATTAATGAACTATTGTGAGATAGCACATAGAATAGCAAGTCTTTGCATGATAACAGTTTTAAAGTATTTAAAAGTATTCACTTATTTAAAGAGAAATGAAAAAGTAGAAGCACCTGTGTTATTCAAAACAGACAGACTTGAAAATCAAACTCAACAGAAGAGAGATGGAAATTTAATATCTGGACATGGAAAACGCATTTGGTTCACACAATCCAGTGACCCGCAATTTATTTCTTTAGAGTAAAAAATCTAGTTAAAGTCTATTTCCAAAACAGACCAATATGCTTCACAGCATGGCAGCACCTGGAAATTGGTATCATGGCAGGATGCACATCTGCCCTCTAGCATTTCACTACTCCAATGGAGGAAATCATTAGGGCATCAAGACAGGTTGTGGCTGGAGAAAGGCAGCAGTGATGAATTAATCTCTGACCCATTACAGTACAGTATGTTTAAATAACATGACAACCATTACTACAATCAAAATCAAATGTCTTACTACTGTAATTTAAAGGATGAACCAAAAACATGGTAATGTTGAAGCCTGCCAAAAGCTTAGTAAAATAGCAGTTCAGGTTAAGACACAATGCGATCAGAGACTGATGAAAAATAGAATAGATACAGAAACACAGGAAAAGAGTCAGCTAAAAATCCACCTGCCATTTCAAAATGACCCCACAGCACCAGCAGCTACATTGTTCAGTGTTGTCACCGCAACTTCTTTAAAGTGTTAATATTATTGCACAAAATCAGTGGTGTGATTTTCTATAGAAATAAACTAAGTCTGTCAAAGTAACATGATAATAACGAGTTAACACAAATTCCTTTTAATGCCACTAATTTTTGATGCTTGATTAACAAACGCACATTCTGTCATTTTGATCCTCGGCCCACCCCGTAGTTTAGGAAATAGGGACGCAATGCTCAGCAGAAATGAACAGAAATGGATAAAGGAAAGAGTCTTTTGAATGACAAGTTCAGCTTCAAAGCCCTGCCCCCCGACAAGACCAAAGTCATTCTCATTTACTGTCAATGTGAACTGAGTTACCACCAGAGTACGTCACATTTCAAATACCACTTGCTGGCCAACCACACAGCTGATGCAGAGAGCCCTCTTCACCTTCGCCAAAGCCAAACCAAGCTAGATAGTTTGCAACAGAGACACCTGGACATTTCTTTAAACAACAAATTTTAAACAGCAATGGATAAATTGGTGGCTACAGTTTGCAGGCCGCTGCACTCACCTACTGGACTTCTCTCAGTAATCACAGTTACCTCAGGTTCCCTTTAAGGTACATTTAGAACCAGTGGTGGAAGTACAATACAACAGTGTAAAAATACTTTATTACAATTAAAAGTCCTGAGTTAAAAAATGTTACTTAAGTAAAAGTACAAAAGTATTGGCATCAAAGCATACTTAAAGTACTAAATGTAAGAATACTCATTATGCAAAATGGTACATTTCACATTCCTGTATATCATGTTATTGTATTATAATTACTGATGCATTATTGTGACCATCACATTTATTGTTGCAGCTGGTAAAGGGGAGTTGGTTTTAGCTGCTTTATATGCATTTAATTTGAATTACTGCTGGGTAGCTTGTAAATTTACTCTAATATATTTAAGGAAGTATATGACAGGAACTGCCCTCGTAAGTAGAATAAAAACAAAAGGAATTACAGTGGGAAACCGTGGATAAGTAAGGGATTACAGAATGCATGTAAAAAGAAGAATGCGTTATACAAGGATTTCATAAAGGACAGATCAAAGAAGACGGAAGTAAAATATAAGGCGTACAAGAACAAATTAATTGAGATTCTGAGGAGATATAAGAAACAATATTATTCTAAAGTATTAGAGGATAATAAAAATAACATGAGAGGTACTTGGAATATATTAAATAAATTGATTAGAAATAGTCGGTTTCTAAGGACAAGTTTATAAGGAGTGTGTACATGATCACTACCGTCTTCGTCCAGTTTTGAGGTGACTCTAGTTGAGGTGGGTCGTTTTAACCCAGTATTGTGTGCAATTATTTATAGGCCACCTAAATATAAATAAGGATTTTATTGAGGACTTCACTAATTTTTTGGCTGGGGTCATGCCTTATTATGATCATGTTCTTTTATTGGGTGATTTCAATATTCATGTGTGTTGTCTGGAGAAACCTCTAGTGAGAGAATTTTTAACTACGGTTGCTGCTTTTGACTTGGTGCAACATGTGTCTGGACCGACACATGAACATGGACACACGCTGGATCTCATTCTGTCTTATGGTGTGCTTGTGTCAAATCTAGAAATATGTATGAATACCTTTCTGATCATATGGCCCTGGGGCCCGTTTCAAGAAGGAGGTTTTGTTAAAACTTTGAGTTTGTTAACCCCGAAATGAGGAACACTCAGAGTTTTCGGTTCCAGAAACGGAGGTAACTTAAACCCGTTTCAAAAAGAGAGGTAATCTAAACTCAGAGTCAGTTACTATGGCAACTTACTCTGTGAACCTAACCTGGTTGGGAGCAGGTTTTGTTCGGGAAACCCAGAGTTTCCTCTGGTCTCTGCCCCTTTTTAAAGTGAAAGGTGTTTAAATAGGCCTACCTCAGTTGATTTTTTTGTCATATCCCCATGTATTTTTATTTGAGCGGTACCGTTTTTGTAGAGAGTCCATAACATATATCAATAATCTTATCCACCCATACATCAGACACATCACCCATCGTGGCCGTGCTCTTACATCCGAGCAGATGCTTTGTGTTGCGTTACGATTTGTTGCAAACGGCAGTTTTCTTTATAACATCGGGGATGCAGAGCACATTAGTAAGGCCACAGTATGTAGAATAGTTCGGAAAGTGTGCCTCACCCTCAAGCGCTTTCTGTGAATTTTTGTTGTGTTTCCTGGGCACAAACCCCTCAGAGCCATTAAAGAGGAGTTTCACAGGATTGCAGGTTAGTGGTATTGAATTCGTTTCAGTAAGGCTAATCTGAAAAATGATGATCAGTTAATAACATCTTGCTGTGACCTCTGGAAATAAACTAATAATTAAAATCCCCTTCAGGATTTCCTAATGTGGTTGGATGCATTGATGGCACACATATTCCCATCAATACACCTACATGAAAATTAAAATTCAATTCTTATATTATTACATCAGTGTTGGGTAAAT